GTTCTTATGAAGACCATGGTTATGACCCCAAAGCCCTGTCAGCCTTTCCAGGAGTTTCCTAGAGACCCCTGCCCCCCCCCCGCCACGCCATGCTGCTGCCCAAGCTCTTTCTGTGGTGGGTACAGAGCAGGGCTCCTGCTTCCTCCTCCTGGCAGACCAGGATGCTGAGGCAGCAGGAGGCTCCACCGGAGGAGTGCTGTCTTCTGCTAGGAGCAGGAGGAAAACTGGGAGCAAAGCTTGGCATCCTAGTGAGGCACCCCCCACCCCAGACCCCAGAAAGCAGGAAGGGCCTGGCCAAGCCTGGGGAGAGCAGACCACATTCCCGAGACAGAAGATGATTGGCCAGGGGCTGCAACACCCCAGGCTCCGCACACCTAGATGCTCTCTGCACATACGCAGACCAGAACAAGTGCAAGTCCTGCTATACTCACTGGAAGTTAGACCACGCCGGCTCTGTGCACATGTACAGGTTAGAAAACACAGCAGACTGCAGATGCTCCCGGTGGGAAGCACATTGGAAGGTGAAAATGCCCTAATTCAAGAATGCATGGAATTTATCTAGTTCACCAAACAGCATAGCAATAGCACAAGGCCCAGGCGCAACTGTTTGTACTGCTAGAGTATCCTAGTGCCTACTGCCACCCCAGGAAAACACCAAGGTCCGGATTTTGAAATACCATTCCTACTAAAGGCAGGTTGCTTTTGCACCATCATAAGGTAAAAAATAATTCTAAATCCAACCAGGGTTAGTTGGGGACTTTTGTATCAGCTTTATTGTCCAGCGTCCTTTCCCTGTGGGTGGCGTCGAATCTTCCCTAATGGTACAGTTACATCACCTTGGAATTCATACGGTCCACCCCTCCTCCCCATTTCACATGTGACCAAACTGATACAGGATAGGTTCCAGCAACTTACCTAGGGTCAGACATCTTCTAAGCAAAATTTCTCTGAGTTACAGAGTTTGGAATTTGAAGATGACAGAGATTTAGGTGACCTGAAGCCCTGAACTAGGAGGAAAGAAACAGGGTATGGCGTCCTAAGGTCTGAGTTTATACTTGGGCCTTTGTGCTCTTGACAAGTTACCAAACCCCTCTGAGCTCTGGCACATTTATTTTTAAAGTCAGAGTGACCAGATGTCTCTGTGAGGTTGCTGCAAGGCTTAGTGGTGATATTTGTTACAAGCCAGGCACATAGTAGATACTCAGAAAATGACTCCCCAACTATTTGATAAGGTTTAAAGCCTTATCAACTGCAGGGATATCTCCTGATGCTATCACAGGCCAGCTTATACTTTGAGCTGGCGAGACTAAGACATTTGGAGTCCCTGGAGTGGGATAAAGACAAGAAAAGTGGCAAACAGACCAAGAAAATACTGCTGTGTTAGGTTGCTGGTGCCACAGGGAATATAGAAAAGAGGCGCCCATCTCAGAGGCAGAAACAGGTAGAGGAGACACTTAAGAAGGCTTCCTAGAATCTGAAGAATGAACAAAATTCACCCAGGGAGAGGCAGAAAGAAGCCTGATCAAAGCCAAGAGACCTGTGAGGACAAAGGTCCAGAGGCCAGAGGAAGTCCAGGAGAAAGGAGTGGGGGCAGTGGTCTGATGAACTATGATCTTTGCCCTGAAGCATTGAGAGCCTTTGAGTAGGGCCCTGCCAGCACCCGCGTTCTCAATGGAAAAACAAATTTAGAAAATAATGAATCTTGCTTCAATTTGCTCCTTTCTTCTCCAAAATAATTGCTTCTTTGTTTGCTTAAAAACCTTCATCTTTATTAAGTTCAAAATACCTGAAAAAAGGCAAGTAGCTCACCTTTACCAACAGCTTAACAAAGTACTTAACACAGTACTGCCTCAGGCCCTTAAATCCTAGAGCACTCCAGCTAAGGAGTCACCCTCACTGGGTTACCGTGTTTAACACTGAATGTTACAGTTCTGCAAAGCCGTGCTCAGCAACTGGTGGGAGGGAAGAAAGGTTTCCAAAATGCTGCATTCATTCAAATCAATACAACAAATATTTCCCAGGAAACATTCCCAGTGTTTGGGGTTTGGGGAAATAGATACCAGTACTCTCAGATTTTAACAAATCTGGTATTTTATGGTTCTGGCCAATTTCTCAGGCATGGCTCCAGCATCTCACCAAAAGCCTGGCATCTTTCAGTCAGATGTAACCTGAATTTGAATCCCAGTTGTCTGAACTCAGGCAAATGACTTAATCTCTTTTCAGGAGTGAAGTGAGAGAAACAGAGCTTACTTCACAGGTTTTTGTTCTTGTTTTTGCAGTGGCCAAGTTTAGCCAAGAAAATAAAAAGGAAGAGTGCAGGAGAAACTGACTTCTTAACCTCGACACTTTAGGCTGACATTAGGTCTAGGCCATCCTATTGAAAACCTACTCAGGTTCTTGTGAGAAGTCCATGTACAGGGCTTTGGGAACTGTTCTGTGCATGTGTCCAGGATCTTTGTAATTAACAGATCATGTCTACCTACCCAGGCAGCTTTGCCACACCCTAATGTCCTATGTTATTTCCCCCCTGAGAGACACAAATCCATATAATTCTTTGTAGGCACTGAGGGAGTGGAGATCTCTGTCTTTTATAACTTCTTCAAGCTGGAAGGGGCTGTGGGCCCTACCCACTAGGGAGTATGTGCTCTTCAATTACCTTGGGGTGCTGTGGCTGAGTAGCTGGGTTGAAGAAAGGAAAATCTGTCAGGAAACAATGAGAAAAGAGTTAATGACCACTGACCTTCACTAGTAGCCCAAATATGAGGAGCAAGTCAGATTTCCATGCTTCCTGTGGTGGCCCTGGAGTCTTGCTTTTTGAAGAGAAATCTCAAGTCTTCCAGAGGCTCACAGGAGTGGCTTTCCCCTTTTGGGTGATCTTGTTTTTCAGACAGTTCAGAAGTGACCGGCTTTTTTCTAGAAAGATAAAGTCAATTATCTGTCCCTGTCACCTTTACTATAGTGGGTGTGGCAAGCATCACTGAGAAGGGACCTTTCCATTTGGGGTTTAATTGGTCATTGGGGGTCCCCTCTTTCCAAGTTTTTACAAGCACTTGGTCTCCAGGAGGGACAGTAGGTGGTCCTCTTGGGCCAGGAGCTGGCAGAACTCTGTTCCCATACATTTGGATAGCCTCACAGGGGGTTCTGAAGAGAAAGCTAGATGAAGGGTAGGATGTGCTTTCTGTCAAGAGCTTGACATCAAGAGCCCTCTGTAAATGACAACCACTAGCACTGATGGTCTTTGGGACAACTCAGAAGCTGAGTGAGCAGGAGAGAGGCCTTAGTATGGTGAGAGGGTGCCAGAATCTGTGGAAGACGGTCATGGTCCATTTCATATTTCCAAACCTTTGGGGAAGGTTTCTCAAATGCTGGGTTGGGTTTCTTTACTTTTCTTTTCTTTTCTTCCTGCCTTCCTTCCTTCCTTTCTTCTTTTTTTTTGTGAGACAGGATTTTGCTATTAGTTTCAGGCTGGGCATAAACTTATTATGTAGTGCAGGCTAACCTCAAACTCATAGCAATTCTCCTACCTTAGCCTTCCCAGTACTGGGATTACAGGTGTGCACCACCACACTCAGCTGGGTTTTGTTCATATCCAGTGTCTAGCACCCAACAGGTCCTAAATAGTGAGCCCCTGATGAATGGTCCTGGCCTCTCAGGAAGACCCACAAGAGGGCCTGGGTGCTGGCCTCCAGTTCCCAGAAGATGCTGTTCTGTGGGCTGCTCTGCCTAAGTCAGTGGAACCCAGGACACCCTCAGGCACAGGGGCATTTGTGAAACAAGCAAACACTGCTTGGACACCCGCAGCACATTTTTGGGAAGAGTGTGGAGAGCAGAAGGTTTGGGGGAGATTGGGGGAAGGACAGGGAAGCATGGGACTCCTTTAGCAAATGGAAGACCTGGGCAAAGACCCTGGAAAGCATAGTGAGAGATGCCTGTTCCCTAGTCCACGCCTCCAATCACCCTCCTTGCCAGTAGCACAGGTGGTGGCTCTTCTCCCACCCACCCAGGAGTGGCTGGGCTCCCCACCCACCAGAGACCTCCGGATGCTCAGGATGGCCTCTGGTCTGCTGGGGGAAGAGACAGCTGGGTCACAACAAGAACACACCAGTGACACTCTTAATGTTGGGGAAATTCTTCCCTGGTTTTTTGGGGGGGCCTTCAGGAGTGTTTGGGCAATGCTTCATCCTCTTGTGCTCACAGATTCAGAGAACATTATTGCGCACAGAGCTTTGGTCCAACCCTCCCATGGGACACAGAGGATGCCGAGTCCCCATATGGGGCAGTGATCAGCAGCCACATCTGCTGGGTGACTTGCCAGTCAGTGCACACAGCTCACAAGTGACTCAGAGGCCACGTGCCTACTTGATATCTCCTTTGGGATATTGCAAAGGTTGCTCCCACTCTGCACATTTGTCTTATTTGGCGTGCTGGGATGGAACTCAGGCCTGTCCCTTGGCCTTTACAGAGCAGAGATCCAGTCCTGCCACACACATGCCCACCAGGGGAGACTTTGATGGCTTCCCTTTGTTCTCAGGATAAAGACGAAACTCATGCCCCTGACTTCCCACGTTTCTGCCCCAAATGATGCTAAGTCTCCCCTTCTGCTCTTGGCCACACTGGCCTTTGCTTTGTTCCTGGCTTGAAGCTACAGTGCCCTTGCCCCTGCGTTTCCCTCAGCAGAGATGCCCTCCTCTCTCTCCTCCTTTCCTCTGCAGTGGAGAGTGGCGTCAGCCACAGAACCCTCCACTCCACCTGGCAGCAGCCTCCTCCTCACATCTGGGGAGAGGGAAACTGGGCCCTGACCTGTCTCAGGGGGCGACGAGGAAGGGGAAAGTGATGTCTGCTAAGTGCATGGAAAATTGAGCTTCCCGGACACACCATGCCCAGGAAGCCCCGCTTGGTAACCAGTAGAACCAGGGCTGGACTGGCTGAGCTGGCCTCGTTCCCATTCCAGTGGGCTGGCCCTGGGCCCTGACTCAGCTCTAAGGAGCGCACCTCCTGCACAGGTGCAAGGTGGACGCAAGACGAGGTTCCCAGCCTGGTGGGAGCATTTAAGGTGGGAAGACGGAGGAATCAGCCTTATATTTGGGGGCATCAGGCTGACGTGTCAGCCTCTGTCAGGACAGCACGGTGAGTTCCTCCGTAGGAGTTAGTTTAGCTTTGACCGAACTGGCTCTGCTTCCCTTTGCCACTCTGTCATCTCCTTCTTCTGCCGTCCCAGCTCCTGAGCCACTGCACCCGGGAGTGGCTCAGCCCTTCATCTCCCTGGAAGCCACCATCAAGCAAAGCTGGCACCCAGGGCCCTCCATTCCTTACCCACCGTGTGTGGCCAAGCAGGTAGAGAGGGGCGGAGGGAGACAGGCGCGAGAACCTGAGGAGACAGAGCCCAGAGCCCACACCTGGCTGAGCAGATGCGGGTGGGTTACGGGTGAGAGTCACACCCTGCTCAACCATCCCAGGAGCTGTGGGGAGAAACTGGGCCCAGCAGTGAGGTCACAGGGCCTGGGGAGGTTGCAGGGGGGAAACAGCCACCATCCCTGGGCTTTTTACTTCCTGCACTGTGCAGCATGAACCCTCCCCTGCCTCGGCCTCCCTCTCCTCCCCTGCAGCAGGCCAGGGGCTCAAGTGAGTGCACATTGGCAGTGCCCTTGCAGGGCACCCACAGGGACCTTGGTGACCTTTCTGGTGGCACAGAGGAGGATTGCCATGTTCCAGGCAAGTTGTTTTTTCAGCACTGGGGATCAACCCCAGGGCCTTGCAGATGCCAGGCTGTGCTACACCTCCAGCCCTGAGTGACGCCCCAGCCCAAGAACATTCCCAGTATTCTTTTTTACACATTCTTCTTTGTGGGTTTTTTTTCTTCTCCTTCTTTTCTGGTACTAGGATTGAACCTAGCACCTCTGCCTTGAGCTAAATCCCAAGCCCTTTTTTATTTATTCATTTTCAGGGTCTAACTCAGGTGCCTCAACTGGGCTCAACCTTGTGACCTTCCTGCCTCAGCCTCTTGGAGTGCTGGGATTACTGTCGATTCATTATCAGACCTTTCCCAGACAGGGCTGGGCCTCCTGCTCTCGATGCCCTGAATAACCTCCCAGGTTCTTTTTGAACAGGGCGTGTGTGTGTGTGTGTGTGTGTGTGTGTGTGTGTGATCTCAGCGGGGAAGGTTTATGGCTTTGGGCAGGCTCTGACCTCCCCCAGGCCCCTCTCCAAGGAACCCCAGCCTGCTGCCCAGCAGCCCCAAGGCTATCCCTGAGAGGGTGGAGACTGAGGGGTGGCGGCCCTCGGTGGGTGACTCAGCAGGGGGCACAGCAGCCCCAGCCCCCACCTGCCCATTAGCCTAGAGAGTAATGATTAACTCCCCTCCTGGCAGGAGACTGCCCCGCCGGGCCCTTGGGAACAGTCAGTCAGGGGCAAAAGTCATGCCAGGTCCTCAGTGGCACCTGGACAGGAAAGGACTTGGCCATGAACTTTCGTCTCCTTTGGCGCCCTCGGCCCTGCTCTGGGTGCCCAAGGTGCACCGGGCGGTGCCACGTGTTTGGCCTCCCCAGCAAATGCCCTGCACTCTGGGGCGTGGTCATGTCAGGGACCAACGTCCTCATGCCCATTTCACAGATGGGCAGAGCAGGGACCAAACCTGGGCACCAGCTACAAGCTCATGTCGGCCCACCACCTCCTAAATCCTGGGACACTGTCACCCCCTCTGCTGATTCCACATCTGCTTCAGGTGGCACCATCGTGGCCGACAGGAATCACCGCTTGTTTCTCTGCCTGCCCACAAATCACTCCCCACGCCCTGTCGGTAAGGAAATCGTGTCAGGGCAGATGTAGAGCGGACAAGGGTAACAGTCTATGCTGAAAACGCCCCTTCGGGCAGATGCCCGGTTCCTGAGCCTGACTTCTGGCTCCTGGCTCAAGCGCCAAACCATCCCCAGCTGGACACTTCCAGGCTTTGGTTCACAGACCTCAGTCTTTCAGGGCTTTCCACACCAGGGGAGGAACTGATTCACAAAAATGAGAATCAACATGGTACCGAGGATCCTTGACTTTCAAACTCAATCGGTTCCCAAGGGCTGGTTTTAACTCAAGTTGGTTGTAAGTCAGTACAGCTGAGATCTGGATGCCTACCTGGGTACATGCTGTAGCTAACAAGAGGCAGATGAATCTTCCATTAACCTAATTAACAAGTTGTTCGTATGTCAGGCCAGTCGTCACTTGAGGGTCCACTGTATTCTGAAATAAAGATACACGTTCTGCAGCTCAAGGTTAGGTTTGCCACTGCCTAGGGTAGTGAGTCACACAGGGGCCTGTGAGCCTCTCTCTCTCCTGTACCCCGGCGGGGCAGGGCAGGCTCCTAGGCCCCACTTGTGGGCCTTGTCACCCCGGGCTGGCTAGTGGCTGAGGTTCCTGCCAGTCCTCACCACCAGATGTCGCTGTTGCTCACAATTAGAGAATGCTGAGAGAGACCAACTCCCACCCCCAGGCATGCAGAGTCAAGCGAGGGGCCCAGCAATCTGCCCCCACCCCACCCCACTAAGCTGTGCAGGGCATTCCCAGCATGCTCCAGTTGGAGAACCATTGGAATAAGGCATCAATCTGTCAACCCCTGGAATTCCCACTCTGCTGCTCTGCCCCACCTGGGAGGACCTAAGGGAGCTTCCATCTCCCCGGCTGCAGTGGGAATGAGGTACGCACCAGGCAGGGTTGCCATGGGGCTGAAAGGACAACTCTTTGAAGACGTGTTTGCAGAGGATAAGGAAAGATGCTGCAGAGTGCGTTGTGACTGGTTTTATTCCCAGTGACAAGGTCTATGGAGTTGGAAGGACTGGTTCTGAGGGGTCAGTCCTCGGCTTCTCTTCCCTCCATTGCATCTGTTCCTCTCCCCAGCTAGAAGAGTCTTTCAGCCACCCAGGCAGCTGTGTTCAGGATGGAATCTCACAGCAGAGGCTCGGCTCTCACGCTCCGGATGCCCAGGTAAGTGCTTTCTGTGCAGGATTTTATTCAGTTCCTATACTGCCCTACAGGGGCCAATGAACAGGAGACTGACAGGCACAAGAGACTGAACAGTTTGCCTGGGCCGGGTGCAGTGGCTCATGCCTATTACCTTACTACTTTAGGACGCTGAGGCAGGAGGATTTTAAGTTCTAGTCCTGCCTGGGCAACTTAGTGAAAGTCTGTCTTAAAATAAAAATAAAATTCAAAAAAAGGCTGGAGGGGTAGCTCACTGAGAAGGCCCTAGGCTCAATCTTCAGTACCATCATCATCATCATCATCATCATCATCATAATAATAATAATAATAATAGTAATACTCATGTAGCTGGCAAGCAGTAAGGCCACATTTGAATTTAGGTGGCCCAATGTGCATTTTGGTCCTTAGCAGTGACACGGTAGCCTCCTCTAATGCATGTTTCTTGTGCCAAGCGTGGTGGTACACACCTGTAATTCCAGCACCCAGGAGGCTGAGACAGGAGGATGTTGAGCTTGAGGTTAGCCTGGGCTGCACAGTGAATACATATAGAGACCCTCACTCATAAAACAACCCAACCAAACAAACACATGTTTCCCAAGCCCCACAAAGGGAGAGCAGCACAGAGCAGTGGAAAGATGCTGTGGGAGCAGGGAGGCCTGGCTTTGTCGCTTTCTAGCTCCATGACCGTGGCTGAGCCTCCTGACCTCTCCGATTCCCAGGGAATTCTCCATGTGTGTAAATACACGGCAGAGCTGGGTACATTACGATGCTCAGTCCGTTTGGAGCCCGCGACAACCCCCTCTCTCCCCATTCCCCTCGCCCCAGGACAGACACACATGCACCCGGAATGTCCCCAGAGCCGGGTGGCGATCGAGTGTGGCCCAGTTCTGCTGCGCCCCTGCCCCCGACTGGGGAGGCCCCGAAGGCCTGTGGGCTGATGGGGAGTTGGCTTTGTTCCTCCGCATTCCCTTCTGAGACCCAGCCCTGACCCCACTGTCGCCAGCCCAGTGATGTGCAGACCAAGTGGCGGGGTCTGGGCCGTGGCCCGGACACTCGCTGGTGTGTGGAGGTACCGTGGGCGGGCGAACAAGGTGGAGGCCGGGCAGACGGACCTCGAGGCTGGTCCTGTTTTCGAGGCTGGTCCTGTTTCTCACTCAGTATTTACTTCAAGCATGTCCATTGCTGTGCTTCAGTTTCCTTATCTGTGTGTGTGTGTGTGTGTGTGTGTGTGTGTGTGTGTGGTACTGGAGATCGAACTCAGGACCTTGTACTTGTGAGGCAGGCACAGGTGCCACTCAGCTAAATCCCCAGGTTCCCTCATCTATTCTTTGGGAAACTTCAAAACATTTTTTTCTATCTCCTCTACCCCCACCCCCCATAAACCCTCAGAAAATACTTTGGATTCCTGTCCACCAATCTCACATTGGGCTCTTTCTCTGATTCTAGTTTCACCCTTGCTCGGGGCCCCTGGTCACCGGGAGGAAGCACCCAGCCTTTCCTTTCAAGCCCTGCAGGGCTGTGGGAGTTACTGCCAGATCCAGAGTCCCAAGGGCAGTCTCTGCGTTCTCCCTGTCCCAGCTGTGTGGTTTCTGCTTCGCTCTGCAGAAGACACCGAGTGCCTGGGAGCTTGGGCCCCCTGCCCAGTGCAGCCCAGCCCTGGCTAGCAAGGAAGGCTGGGTGGCTCTTCGGCCCCTGCTCCCCAGATTCAGGAAGCTCAGGGTGAGGGTGCATACTAAGAACTCAGATGTCATCTTCAGACTGCTGAAAAATTAAAGAAAATGGAGAAAATCTTGAGAGTAACCAGAGGGAGAAAAATGACTCCAACATCTAAAAGCTATAACAAGAAGAATTAGAGTGGAGTTCTGGTCAGAAAACATGCAACCTGGAGAGAAGCAGAGTGGAATAGTGAAAGTGACACACATGACATGCCAGAAATGACCCACATGCCATGTGACCAAAGTGACAGGTGATGCGACTCACAATACCACACTGACCCAACAGGATTCCTGCTGAAGATAGACCAGACAGCCCTCCGAAGGACAGAGTGGAGGAGGAGGAGCAACGTTAGATACCGAGGTGACGACATGGTGGTGGGGGGTCTCGCTAAACTAATTTGCAAGCTTCCTTGCTAAACTGGACTTTACAAGCAAAGGCACGGTGGACCAAGGAGAAGGTTTGGGAGCCTGACCAAAGTTTGGACAAGCAAAGGACTTTGCTAATACCGACAATACCCTAACCCTAACCCTAACACTAACCCTAACCCTAACCCTAACCGCAACCCTAATCCTAACCCCAAGTGCTACCACTAAGCCCTAACCCTAAAGTGTGTCTGCAGCTCTGCTGGCTAAATATCAAGAGTGTGCAACACATTCTCCTGAACATCTTCACTGCTGACAAATCTTTGTGCTTTCTGAGTGGATTGGTTTCTAGAAACAGCCAAAAGTTATTCAGAACCAACTTCTGTGAATTAAGAAAATGTAGCTGATTTTCTCTATGTGTATTATATGTGGTTCTGACAGCAGTTTTAACAGACAAAATTTTAAAAATGTTCTAATCCAGGCACTAGGAGAGTCTCCTGTGTAGATGAAATGGAGGAGATAACAGTCCAGTAGCTTTGTGAGTTGTAGACAGCTTTTCAAATAGCTTTATCTTATCACACTTTGGGGCATTCACAAATTCCAGGTAACTCTAAATAAGTGCCATGAAGTTCTATGAAAAATAACAACCATCCAGCTGCTTTTTGTGTTTGAAGTTGTTGCTATTGCTTACAGTGGTTGCATCAGTTAGCTTTACACCACTGTGACAAAATACCCAAAAGAATCAACTTAAAAGGACAAAAGGTTTATTTGGGCTCCAGTGTCAGTCACTTAGCCCTGTTGCTTTGGGCCTGCAGAGGCACAGTAGTACATCATGGTGAGGAGGATGTGGCAGAAGGAACTGCTCAGTTCATGGTACCCAGGAAGAAAGAAAAGAAAAACAGGAAGGGCTGGGGTCTCAATGCCCCCTCCAGAGCATGGTCTCAGTGACCAGCTTCCTCCCCCGAGCCCCAACTCCTGAAAGTGTCACTGGCCCCCAATCACAGCAAGCTGAGCACCAACCTTCAACAGTAGGCTGTGGGGACTCTCCAGGCCCAGACCAAGCCATGCTTGTCGTGGAGACTGGCTTTCCAAAGGCTCTGGGACATCGATATTCTCCCACCTTATGCCGAGACAGTGGTTCTAATTTAGCCCGGGGATAAAGCGTAAGAATCACTAAGCCTAGCACTTAGGTAGCCACATGAGTCAGACACAGGCACTTCTTACTGCATAGACTTCCAGCTGCCCCCTGTTCCTTCCTTCCTTTCTTTCTTTTTTTTGTGGTACCAGGGATCGAACTCAGGTCCTTGCGCTTGCGAGGCAGGCAGCGGAACCACTGAGCTAAATCCCTGCCCCCACCCCAGTTCCCCATTTCTGTATCAAATACCAAAGCCAATCACCCTCTCACCATTTTCCCCAGGTTCCTAGGTGTCAGTGTACGACATTTCCTAGGTATCATAGGTGATTGCACTGGTCCAATTGGAGGATTTTCCTATTATTTCAGGTGACTATCTTTGCTTTGCCTTCTTTTGAGCTTTTCAAGGTAGATAATTTGTTTTATTTATTTATTTTTTCGGTACCAGGGTTCGAACTCAGGACCTTGGCGCTTGCCGGGCAGGCGAGGTAATAGTCTGTTTAATTTCAAGGAAGACCGATTTCAAGCTGTATTAATCAGAAAAATAAAGACACTTAGAGAAAGATGGGTTCAGAAAAGGCCCGAGCGCCCTCTTGTGGTCAGATAGACACCCTCTCTGGCTCCCACCGGAAGTGCTCTCTCAGGCTTTGCTCTCAGTTCTCCCGGGGCAGAGGAGCAGAAATCCAGCAGCCTGAAGCTCAGGGGAGGGAATTCGAGGGGAGAAGAGAGCTTTCTGTGTCCATGAAAGCAAGTAGCCTCCTCACCAAACCGATTCTGAATGGAGTAAAGAGAACAGAAAAAAAAATAGGACAACAAAAAAGAACAAGCTAAATAATTTTTTTCCCCAAAATTTCTAGCTGGGCAGAAACTCTTCTAGATTGTTCAGAGGCAACATGATAGAAAAGATAAAACATTTAAAAATCTTTATTGCTTATTTTAATTTAAGGTATTATGTGTTTATTATGGGCAAGAGATTAGGAGAGAAAAAAACTCAGTTAAATGTATTTTATTTTGCTTTTGATCTTCACCTTCGGTAGCATTTATTTTTCAGTTGTTGAATTACCTGTCACAAATCTAAATATATATTATGTCTAATATCTGCAGTAAATTAGAATCTGCATACAGTAAAATACACAAGTCTTAAGAATCCATTTCAATGGCTCTTCTGCTTCTGTCCGCCATCGCGTGCGTGCGCTTGCCTCCGAGCCTAACCACGTCTTCTCACAAGACTTTCAGAATCAAGCGATTCCTGGCCAAGAAGCAAAAGCAGAATCGTCCCATTCCTCAATGGATTCGGATGAAGACTGGTAATAAAATCAGGTACAACTCCAAGAGGAGACACTGGAGGAGGACCAAGCTGGGACTGTAAAGAATTGAACATGAGATGTAGCATGTTTCTCTCCCCGGAGTCACAAAGTGATACATTCTTTATCATGGTTGAGATTACATTACCATATCAAGCTTAAATATGATTGGCTGGACAGTTGAACGTGCTTAATCAGGAATCTTGTTCTGTGATCACACTGAGTCAACAATAAATGTTTTGAAATTTAAAAATTAAAAAAAAAAGAATGCATTTCAATGAATTTGTATGAGTGTAGATACCTACGTAACTTCTATCCTGACAAAATATGCCCCTGTATCACTCAAAAATTTTCTGTGGGCTCCTTACGGTTAATATTCGCCCCCACCAGGAAACCACCGTTCTCATTTCGGTCATGTAGATTAATTTTGCCTGTTCCTAGGCTTCATATAAGGCCTGGGGATGTAGCTCAGTGGTAAAGAGTTTGCCCAGCACAAGTGAAGCCCTGGGTTAAATCCTCAGTACTTACCAAAAAATCTTCATGTCGGGCCGGGATTTAGCTCAGTGGTTTTGTCGCCTGCCCCGCAAGCTCAAGGACCCGAGTTCGATCCCTGGGACAAAAAACAAAAAACAAAAAACTTCATGTCTATAGAATTTGAAAGAGGGTGCTGGGGATCAGGATCAAACCCAGAGCCTTGTGTTATACCAAGTGCTTGCTCTACCGCGGAGCTCCAGCCCAGCCTATAGATATTCTTTTGTGTCAATTTTTTAGCATAGAATGTGTGAGATGTCCTTGGATTGTTTTGTTTGTTTTTGTCCTTGGATTGTTGCATGTGTTTTAATTCAGAGTCTTAAGATGGAGAGTAACCCTTCCCTGATCAGGAGAGACATGAAATGGAAATAAGGACTTTCTCACAAGTCGTGTTGGGTACACCACACACTTGAGGGTCACACATATGGAGGAGGGGGGCATGTGGGAAGGGGGAGAGGAAGAGGGTTAGGGAGGAGGGGAAGAAGGGAGGGGGAGGGGAAAGGGGAGGAGGAGGGAGAACAAGCTGTCGAGCTCTTTTTGAGTCCAGGGAATTATCCCAACAGGTATCCCATGAGGAGTCTTCATGGGGAGGGTGTTGAACATAGGCCCAAGTGCGAGGAGGTCACTCTGCCTGAGCGACAGCCAGTGCATGCTGGGAGTGAGGGGCAGCACAGACTGCTGGGTAGGCAGCATCTAGCTGTCCCACAATGCTGTGGCCACCAGGGGGCAGACGTGTGGCTCAACCATGGAGATGTCACATGAGAAAGTCCAACTTGTGTTTTAAACGGAGGTGAAGGCAAGGCAAAATTCTAAGCGCTCACTACGCATAGATGAGGAGTTCAGTATTCCTTGTCAGGGACTATGATGTTGGATAAGTATGCCACAGTTTACCTGGTTTCCTACTGACAGACCCTGGGCTTGTTTTCAGATTTTAGCCATTATGAATCACATTGCTGAGAAGATTCTTATTCAAGACTTTTTATGGACCGTCTGTGTTATTTCTCTTGTATAAAAACCAATGAGCAGAACTGCTGGGTCGTAAGACAGGTGTGTGTGTAATGGTTTTCCAAAGGGATCATATCATTTTGTATTCCTTCTGGAAGGAGAGTTCCACTTATCTGACATAGCTGGTAGTTTTGTTTAGAGGGTGAGAAATTATACTTCATTGTGGCTTTAATTTGTGTTTCCCTGTTAAACATCCTTTTGTGTCTCTTTTAGCAACCTATATATCTTTTTTTTTCAAAATATCTGTTCGGGTCTTCTGTCTTTAAAAATTGGGTGGTTTGTCTTCGTTATTTATTTGGAAGAGCTATTTATATACTCAGGCACAAGATTTGCCTTATATGTCATTGCAAATATTTTGTAATGCCTTTTTGTTTTATTAGTAGTATCTTTTAATACATAGAAGATTTAAATTCTGAGTTGGCCGGAAACATCAGATTTACCTACTTAAAATTTTATATTTATGTTTTATTGCATCTGTTATAAGAAAACTTTCCCTGTCCCAAGGTTATAAGCTATGCATCTAAATTTTCCCAGGAAAATTACAGTGCCAATATTTACACTTAGATTAATGAGATAGGGAGCAATTTTATTTTTTTCACACATTTATTCAGTAGTTTGTGACGAATACTTCCCTTTCCTCATTAAATTACTCTAGCATCCTTGACCATCTATCTATGTATTCTTTTGTTTCTTGTTTTTTGTTTTTTTGGTACTAGGGATCAAACTCGGGTCCTTGCGCTTGCAAGGCAAGCAACAGAACCACTGAGCTAAATCCCCGGCCCTATCTATGGATTCTTTTCATCCTATATCTATTTACCTATCATACTGTACTGTCTTGCTTTATATAGTCTCAAAACCAACATTTCAAGACTGTTTTGGCTATTGTAGGTTCTTTACATTTGCATCACAAATTTTCAATCAACTTGCCAATTTCTACCACAAACACTTTGAGGTTTTAATTGGGATGACATTGAATTTATAGATACATACAAAGAGGAATGACATTTTAAACCTATAAACATGTATTTTTCTCCATTTATTTAGGTTTTCTTGAATTTCCTCATGATTTCATATAGTTTTCATGTTGTATGTCTTTTGAAAAATTTTCCGAAGTGTGTTTTTGTTTCTAATGCTATTTGTCTGGTTTGTTTGTTTGTTTGTTTGGTATTGGGGATCAAACTCGGGACCTTGTGCTTGCCAAGCAGGTGGTGGAACCACTGAGCTAAATCCCCGGCCCTATTAAAGGAGATTTTAAGCACTCATTTTCAAATTGTTTCCTTCTAGTACATAGAAATACACTTAATTTTTAATATCAAATTTGCATTCTGTGAAAATACTGAATTCACTTTTTAGTGTTATGCTTACCTTATAGATGGTTACGCCAGATGCAAATGAAGGCAGGTTTTTCTTCCCCTTCTTTCCAATCATTATGCCTTTTATTTATTTTTCTTTGCCTGATTGCTATTGTTAGGAGTTACAGTGCAGTGTTGAATAGTTGTGAGGACAGAAATTCTTGCTTTTTTTCCCCCAGGGGGAATATATTTAATATTTCACCCTTAAGTGTGATGTGAACTATAAATTTTTCATAAATAGTTAATAAGAATGAGGAAACTTCCTTGTATTCTTAGTTTTCTGAGAACTTTTATTATCACTGGGTGTGGAATTTTGTCAAACTCTTTGTACAACTACTGAGAAATCAAATTTTTTCCTCTTTATTCTGTTCATACAGTGAATTATATTGACTGATTTCCAAAGTAAAACAAACTTGTACTCCAGAGAAAACTTCACTTGTACTTCTCATATTATTCTTTTTATATATTTCTGGATTCAATTTACTAATATTTTGTTAAGACTTGTATATCCACATTTATGAAAAGCGCAGGTATATACTTTTTTTTTCTTGTAGCATCACTGTTATATTTTGGTTTCAAGATTATTTATTGTTGGTTGCATCAAGCAAAATGGAAACTATTCCTTCCTCCTTGTTTTTCTGAAATGGTTCATGTAATATTGGTATTATCTTGTCCTTAAATGTTTGATATGATTTACCAGTGAATCTATCGGAGTCTAGTTTTCTTTGAGGGAAGGGTTGATTTAGGAGTTCAATACTGTTATAGATAATATTTATAAGAATTCCACTTAAATTTCATGTTTACTTTGTGTCCATTTTGATGATTTGAACTTTTCAAGAAATTTTCTTATTTTATGTAAGTTGTTGAACTTCATGGCATGATGTTATTTATAAGATTAATTTATTATCTTTTTAATGTGTGTAAGCTCTGTGATGACACCTTTCTTTCATTTCTGGTACTGATAACTGATTTTTTTCTCTCTTTTCTTTAATCAGTCTTACAGAAGTTCATCTATTTTATTAATCTTTTCAGTGAACTAACTTTTGCATTTGTTAATTTACTCTATCTTTTTTGGGGTATTTGTTAATTCCTTTTCTTACCCTTATTATTTCTGCTACTTATTTTAGGATTAATTTGCTCTTCTTTTCTAGCTCTTGAAGTGAAACTTAGGTAATTAGTTTTAAACATGTCTTCCTCCATTACACTGTGTATATTCGTTAGCTTTCTGTCACTATCACAGAATAGCTGAGAAAATCAATTTACAAAGAAGAAAGGTTTATTTTGGCTCACAGTTTCAGAGGTTCAGCCCATGGTCACTCAGCTGTGTTGCTTTGGGCCTGTGGCAGCACAGACCCCATGGTGGGGACACATGAGGAGGAGCTCTGCTCAGTTTAGGTCAGCTGGGAAGCAGAGGAGGAGGAATGGGGCCCCATCCCCGTGTTCCCTTCTGAGTGACCCAGCTTCCTCCCTCCAGGCCACTCCTCCTGCAGAGCCCACCACTCCCAGAAGTGCAGTAGGCTGTGACCAGGCCTTCATCTAGCACAGGGGCTTGGGGGGCACTGGAGATCCAAACCAGGACGTTGTGGGACACTGGGTATGGTCCATTCCACTCTAGGCAGTGCTTTGCTTCATCTCTCCAAGTCTTCTGTACTGTGTTTTCCTCCACCTTCAAGTATTTCCCGATTTCCCTGATAATTTCTCCCTGTCCCATGGATGCTGATTGATTTTCCTCTGTGTGGGGCTTTTTAATTATCTTATCATTACTGATTTTTAACTTCTGTTGTCACAAGAGAACACATCCTGTAAGCTTGAGACTTCTTTTATGGCCTAGTATAAGGTACATGGTTTATATATTACGACATGGCA